AGCTTGCAAAACAGCCGCGAGCACGCAATGATTGTAGCATGTAGTGATATTTTCAATGACACGCATGTGATGTATATGTCATGTTTTGACTTGTCATTTACCTTCGTCGTCTATTTGAATCATGTGATACCACATTTTGTATATGTGAAGCTAGTGAAACGGCTGCGGGCGTGCTATGAGCGTGGCACGTAGTCAAGTTCCCACATGAAAGGCATCTCATGATTATCATGTTTGTGCCAGTCATATCACTGTTGTCATCCATTGACGTCACGTAACACCAAATGTGGTATACGCGAAGCTAGCGAAACTACCACGAGTATGTCATGAGCATGGCATGTAGTCGTGAATTACATGACATGCCTGTCATGTTTCTACGTTAGGGTTGGGCACCTATGTTCGTCATGCAGTCATGCCATAACATATCAGTTTCGCAGTATGCCATGTAAGCGAAACCACCGCAAGAGCAGCAAGACTATGAAGCGTAAATCATGGCTATAATAAATACAATAATAATTTTCGTATTATGACTAGTCACTAATGCTCGTCATACAGTCATGTTATGACATACCAATTTTGGTTTTGATACTATTATCTAAATGACCAGTACATTTAAAGGTCGTAGGCGGCTAGGTATATAGATAGCTAGATACTCTCAAAGTTGCCGAAGTTCAATAAGAAAGGCTTCGCATTAAAAAATGAAACGAGCTAATTGTTTTATCTGCAACGAACTAAAACGTATTTAGGTCGAAGTGTTATAACGAATAATCTGAAGCACGGATAGCGCTGGCTAAACGAATAAAAAAATAAATTAGAGAGGTAAACACTATCAGCTTGGGCACAGGCGATTCCCGCTCTCGCACTTAATCTTCCACCTTTAGTATGCTACAAGCGGGATCTTTCCTGTCGAGAGCAAGGTTCATTCGCTTTGCCCCGGACATGAGCCCGCGCTGCCCTTAGTGCCATCAAGAGTATTTCTCCTTAGCCCTGGCAATAATCAGTGTAAATAAATGCCTCCTTTATTATACAAAAGAACTGGGAGGAAGCCCTCAGGAGCGGCAATCTATAAACAAGTAAGGGCTTTACCAAAGGCCCACGAATCAGGGAAGGACCATAATCTTCCGGTATCAAGGTGGGCGCGACCCGAAAATACGGCTCTGTGTTTCCTTAGGGCCCAAATAAAGTTTGTTGACTGAGCGACTGAGTGCCTGACCGACTGGTATTGTGATAATCATAGTCTGCACTTGGACAAATTCTGAGCGACAGTTGAGTTAAGTTGAATGAACTTTATTTGTTCAACGGTTGTTGCTGTGCCCGATGCTAGGCTGCCAGATACACATCGTTCGAGGAACATCTTCCGAGGTCCTTGGCGACGGCCCTGGCCCGCTGGACACTCCACACCTGTTCTTCAAGAGCCTCACTGAGATGGGTGGCTTGCCATGGCTCAGCAAGGTGCCCCATTTCGAGGGGTCCCTTAGCTGGCGTTGTCCCAGGTCGTGGCATATCATTGTTTCTCGCTAATTGCCAAAGCATATGTGCTATATCGGCCCGTTCGTGCACGTGCCACGGGAAGGCAGGTGATCCTTGCTTTACCAGAGATCAATCCTTTATTCGCAGCACGAATGCTTTCAAGAATGAAATACGTCTATAAATAAACAACTCACTACACGTGAGTATAAGCGAAATTTTTTTTAAAGAGGCTATTGTGATTTCTGACAAAGTCACTGCATAAAACATGCTTATTTTTTAGCTCAATAATGCTTGAGCTCAATAAGCACAATTGAATAATTGCTGGCGAGTTGGACGCAAAGGCAATATTCAAGGGAGTATAACTGCACTGAAACAATATCATCTTTCGGCAAAACGAAATGTTTGCCGTAGCTTTGCTTCAGCCGAAGACAATTGTGGGCAATCTGATTGATTTAATGATACGGGCATTGAACGTCCCGAAACCATCGTAAGAATACGAGAGTCCTCGTAATGCAGGGCTCCAGAAATTTCGACCACCTGAGGTTGTTTAACGTGCATCAAAATCTGAGCACACAGGCCTACAGCATTTTTGCCTCGATCGAAAATGCAGCTGCTGTAGCCGGCATTTAATCCAATGACCTGTGAGTCAACAGCCGAGTAGCTTATCAACTAGATCACCACGACAGGGTTGTGAGCAATTTGTGTAGGTATTTATTAGCCATGAGAAATGATGTTGTCATCGATACATATAGCACTGACCAAAATAAAAGAAGGTTGGGCATGGTCAAGGCACTCAAACATAAGAAAGAAGAATCTTTACTGGCAATGAAAATGCATGACGATTGAATGGGGTCAATTGAATTTTATACTTGTCGAATTTTCAAGCACCATGCACTATAAACAATACCTTTTTGCAAAATGCTTGTATAAAACGAAAGAATGGTTTGCATGTTTCTGATCTTTCTAACAAGATAATATGATGTATTTTAGCGCCATACATAAAGAATTTTTTGATTAAAATATGCTGATCAAGCTGTTATAGTGAGCCATTCTAACAGATGATTTCCATCGAGATGTGACCACTTACGACCTGTGGTCGTAAGTGGTCACTTCTCATTTTTTTGGTCCCTTTTTACTTGTAATATCTCGCGGTGTGAAGTCTTGCTTTCCAAATCAAAGCTAGTGTCCACGTCGGTGGTGTGAATGAAGAAAAAAAACAAATACAAAGGTGAATATAAAACTAAATTATTGTACCAACAAAACACCACATCAGCCTTCATCTTCATAAAGTATTTCGATGAACTCATTTGCGGACTTAATTAGCAATAAGAGGTGCACAAGTGGACATGCTACTTCAAAGGCAACACCAGTACAAAGACATCAACAGGAGAGAAGCCGCTTCCGGTGCTTCGGGAAATATCGTCTATGGCTTCTACGGCTATGTCTTGTTTTCTAAACATGAACCAAGGAAGAGAGGTTTAAAGCCTTTGCACCGTGAGCATTATGAATCTCTATCTCGTAGTACATCCGAGATTTGGCAGCATAAGATGCCGTACGTGACATGAAAGTGCAGGTGAACGTGATGTCAGAGCACCTTGAGGATTCAAGAGTACGCGCAGAGTTTCTCTTATAATGCACATTGCTATTCCAGGCATCGCGCTGCGGGTCTGCCATTAACCATACTACTGCCTAGTTGTACCCGACCCATATCAGCTTCTTCCCGGTCATAATGAAGGATGTACGTGATACTTATTCTAAGTTTAGCAGTCTTCCCGTAAATTTATAAAAATACAGGGGAAATTATCTGTATATACATTGAATGTTTTGTTAAACAAATCCTGGCTCACCTTCTGCCGAAGTAGGTTTAAAACTTGTGATGAAATGAAAATGTAATTCAGCTAGTAGTCTTTCATGTTGTCGTTATTATCATGATGTTCGTGTGCTTCTACATCAGAACTGACCTGCAGAACAGCTAATGAAGATATCGACAAAAAAACTAGGTGTAGGCTGGATCGGAGATGGTGCAATTAGACAATCACACTATCTTTTTCCTTCGTTCTCGCCTTTTAATTTACTCAAAAACATGATTTCACACAAATTTTCATAGCATGCACTAAGCGCCTATTTTTAACTGCTCTCTCCGGCAAACTTTACTCGCTACAACTATCGTTTGCACCGTGGAGTTTCTATGACGGTTACTGAAAGCATTTGTGTGTTGGTGTCCTTTTAGTGCTCTATGTTTCCAAGCCATAGGCGCTAAGTTGACGAAGTGTTTTACGCATTGACAATATATATAACGTATAAGTAGTTTGCTATGATGTTGGTGGTTTTTTTTAATGTAGAGTTCAAGTTGTTCGACCATTTAAACATCCGCTGTATTGTGTATTGTACATCGTCAACTTTTAAACATTAAAGGGATGGTAGTACAGATACGTTTTGAAGATAGCCTGGGAGTGCCGGCCACGTGGTGTTAGGTCATCTTAAGTTTATGCCCAAATTTTAGGAACCAAACAAAAATAAAGTGATACCATGCTACATCGTTTGCCCTCCATGCTGATCAGGTTGACATGACAAGGCGTTTCCAAGATGTTTCAGTGGAGATCACTGCCTCAGTATCAAATTCACCGTAATCAAAGTGACCTCACCATTATAGAGGTACACACGAATTATGCTGTTTTATGCAGCTTATCTAAGAGACACGTCAAAGCTGTTCTGTCGGTGTAATTTTCCACCACCAAAAATTAAAACGAGTTTACAAAAATGATTGAAATGAAACGCGTAATAAAACACACGATATATTTCCCCATTAGACAACAGCTTGAGCGGCCCCAGTAAAATTGTCAAATCTTCGCGCTATTTTATGAGATGCCTTTTTCAATGCCCAGAAAGGCAGGTATTTCAAGCGCACTTTCTTTAAAAGATATTTGTGGAAACTGCACACAACAATGTACGTGACCTTAATTTTACAATGGTTGATTGCACGCCTTGGCATTGTTGCCTTTTCTGTTTCTTTGTTAAGGTTTACTGTGTGCAAGCATAATGTGATCAGAGCCGAAAGCAGGCACAGATGCTTCTTTCAATTTTAGACATTTATATAGCAGTCGACACATAACTTTATAAAGCCCCTATATGCGTACGTTATCATCAGTCTTCTAGGGCAATTTCCAGCTCTCGTATAGACATTGAGTCTACTATAGACGAACGACTGTCACGCCTACCCCAACTATGACACAGGATATAAATCCTGGACGTGCGACCACGTAACAGTGCATTTTCGTCTTTATTCCTTATTTCTCTTCGTAAACATTATTTTGCTAATAGTCTACCCTTCCCGTTATAGAAGATTACGCTGCTGGAACATTCCTACACTATTCCAATAGTTATGTGTTTACCTAAAGAATTTCTATATTTTGCACATACTTTTCATACATTTGCCTAACATATTTCTACGAATCTTACACAGGAATAAGGAATTATCGAAGATAACAAACAGAACGTTTCAGTAGAGCCCAAAGGCACAGAGCGTTGCTTACTGTGAGTTTGAGCGTCTTGGCGCGTGCCCGGGGCAGCAGCGGATGCGCCTGCGTACAGCGTCGCAGAGTTGGCAGTGGGCCCTTGCCGTTAGACCTGAAGCTAGCGCCGATCTGGTCCTTGTCCTTCGAACCGGCCGCCACGAGGAAGCCAGCGCCATCCGGTGCCGAGGCGGTCCATACAACGCGCAGCAATCGCAGGTAGCAGGCCGATATCAGTAGGCCAGGCACCACCAGGATGTACAATGTGAGCCAAGAGAAGTAGAGTTGACGTTGCCAGTGTTGCGTGTAGCCAACACTCAGACACTCCATGTGTGGCTGGCCGGACACGGTCACCCCTGTTTGTACCTGTAATGAAGCGTGTGAAGGTCCACCCCATGATTCGTTGAAGCACAAGTACGGTGCGAGTTGTGTATTTGATGGCTGCAGTTGAATGCACGAATAACGAAAACGCTACCAGACTTCAGACTTATATTGGTAATATTGATAGGCGTCCACATTATATGGTTTTATAAAGTCAGAGCGTGGTAACGTGGAAGCACATATTTTCACTGGAATTTTGGTTTTGTATTGGCACAGCTTGTCTTTCAGTACGATGACCTACATTTCAAAATTAGCAGCGAGATGAGTTCGCACTATAACTGTCTGAGCATACTCTGCTTAAATGTTCAGCAGAATGAATGACGTGAAAACTGTTAGTTTTTTCGCCTTGCCTACTTGTGAGCTTGCCGCTCAGAACAATTTTATGGCCACAGTGAACTTCTGCTGCGGTAAAAACATAAAACGAAAAGAAACAAAAGCAGTGAAGCAAGCACACAGCACGAACGCACACACAGGGGCACGCACACATGCAAAAGCGCACTCGCACACCCACAAAGGCCTCCCAATGAATCGCGATAATTTTCGTGTAAGACGTCTAGGGGTCGCTCTCGAGTAATAAAGTCCACCAACCTCATCACCCATGGTTCACGGAGAAAAAGTTTGCTAAATTAAAAGAAATTTGCGGAGCTTGCGCCCAAGAAAAGCTGCGCTACAGAAAAGGTGCCGAGCACCTAGCTGGCTATTGCCTGTCCAGGCTTTCTCCGACTCGCTGTCTATTTCCCAATGTCACTGCCTATCTGTGCCCGTTTTTTGTATGTCTATGCATTCCCATTTTTCACCTTCGGTGCTATTATCTTTCTCTGGATTTCAGTCTTTTTCCATCTTTGCTGCTTTTTTCTCTTTTTGCAGTCGATATTGACCTTCTATCTTTTTCACTCACTGAACATATCAGCACTTACTAAACATGAAAGCTCTACTGTAAAGTTTCGGTAGTGCATATGCACCACTGAAAGTAGGCACCACACTGATCTCACAGTACTCTTTAAAGTCTATCTATCTATCTATCTATCTATCTATCTATCTATCTATCTATCTATCTATCTATCTATCTATCTATCTATCTATCTATCTATCTATCTATCTATCTATCTATCTATCTATCTATCTATCTATCTATCTATCTATCTATCTATCTATCTATCTATCTATCTATCTATCTATCTATCTATCTATCTATCTATCTATCTATCTATCTATCTATCTATCAAGCCGCATCACCACCTTAAATTGGGTTAACCAAAATTAGTACGCGAGCGTAAGATGGTTTGACCAGTATGACTGGCTGGTCATGGCATGAACAATGTCGCAATCCCAGCGCGCATGTCGTGAAACACTCTCCGCAAGACAGTCGCACTACGGGCAGGTATAGGCCACCGGTATGCTGGTATGTGGTAAAGATGATTGACACTTCGTACCTGGCCAGGAAGGGCGATAACACGCACGGCTAGTTTTAGCGCGTGGGTGCTATGAAAAAGCTCATATCGCCTGCGTTGACCCGACGAATGTTAAGAAAAAATGTCAGGGTCAGGACAAGAAACGAATTCCAGCATTATACGTGGTAACCAAGGATTCTACCACAGAGCCACGCCAAGTCTCACAAGTGCTTTCTAAATACACTGCGATGTTCCTGAAGCGTCAATTGGGGATGTAGTGATGGGTATCCAATTTTTCAAACAATACATATGTACTCCTACAATACAACCGTAACGTCTTGTTAAGATCAACTGCAATCCACTGAAGGTGATTGACAGCTTATATCACCCGATGATTAGCGCGAACAGACATTGGTGATTTTAATGTAAGAGCAATAATTGAAATATAGCATCTCCTCGAAGTGAATGATAGTGAGTCGGCTAAGCTATAGGTCCTAAGGTCCATAATGTCTACGTTGAAGTGGCGACTAGTATGAATAGACGCTTGGACGATTGAGCGGACACGTAGGCGCATGCGCAGATGGACAGACAAGTGGAAGTATGCATTGATATGCGAACGGACGGAGGAACGGATGCCTGGATGTATGAACTGTCCGACAGATGGATGGATGAATGGATGGACTGACGCAGAGGTGCATAGGCAGACGGACAGACGAACGACACGCGTGATCATGTATTGCGCTGGCGTGTAACTGATTACACATGAAGTCAGTTGTCTACATCTCGTTGTGCAGATGTCCAGTTTTAGTTTAAGTTTTGTGGGGCGTGATGGACGTGATGGACGCAAACTAAGTCGGCCCTAAGGGTTTCGCCTCTAAAAGCTGACATCGGCAGCGTTGACCCAAGAAACGCATAGAAGATTATCATGGTCCCAACAGGAAGCAAAGACCCATGATTCTGCGCGATAATCACGTATTCTACCACGGAGTCACTACACGTCTCGGAACTGCTTTTCAAGTAGACCGTAATGTTCATGAAACGCCAACAGTAGTGACAGTGCTGGCCATCCAATCTTATAAAAAGTACACAAGTACTCCCTATTACACAGTCCGTCCACGTCGGGTTAACGACAATTGTATTGAAGCGCCATCGACTGAAGATCTTTTATCTACTAGTTCTGGTGTTGCTGAAAACGAGACTGCTATTAGTATCGTGAATAAGCGTTGTTTTAACGTATGTCTGTGCGTACAACATTTTTACATATTTTTAGGTCAATTTTGTAACGTTTCGTTCAATCAACAACTATAACACAACCATCCTTCCTTCCACTGGCCTCGCACAGAACCGATTCCTAAGGTACGTGGGATCTGCCGATTTTCTACAAAAGGCCATCGGGCAAAGATCTGCCACTCGTCGTTTGAAGTCTGCATCTGTTTCTTGATGCCAGCGTTCCACAATACGGCATTCTCTAAAAGGCCATTGGGAAAAGATCTGACACTCCTTGTTTGAAGTCTGGATTTGTTTCTTCTTGCCAGCGTTCCACACACACAAAAAACGCAAAATTGTGCTTTACCTTGATTGATTTATTGATATGTGAGGTTAAACGTCCCGAAGCAAACATACGATTGTGAGAGAGGCCGTAGTGAAGTGCTCCGAAAATTTCGAACACCATGGTGCTCTTTAACGTGCACTCATATCTGAGCTCACGGGCCTACAACATTCCCGCCTCCATCGGAAATGCAGCCGCCCCAGCAAGAATTCAATCCCGTGACCTGCGGGTCAGCAGCCGAGTACCTTAGCTACTAGACTACAGCAGCGGGGCAACTGTGCTCTACCTGTACAGGGGCAAATTATTCAGATGCATTTTGCAGCCTGACGACGACGTCTATTCAAAATGAAGTGACGACGAGGTGCTATGGTTTGTAGTTTGTATGCCCAGCGTGACGTCTGGTCCGTGCTTCGTTCCTGAGGTCCTAAACATATCGTGCACTGTCTGTTCAGACGCACTGAAGAAATGACGCTGCCATGCATTCTAGTTCATTACGCTCTGTCTCGTACACTGGTTACGAAGCTGCTTTGCAAACAAAGTGACCAGGTTCCCCTCAAACTGCATGTTGCAACTTTTCTTCTTGGAACTCCACGTAACCCAGATAGAGAATAAGTATACATCGATTCAATTGTTGGGGCAGTTTTCTCACACGTCAAAATCATAATTGTAATAACACTAGCAGAAACGGTGGTAATGCATACTAGCGGAGGTTTTTCGCGTTAACTCAAAACGTATTTTGCAACTCTTCTCCACAGACGTTTACCAAAGTTTGAAATTGTAGAAAGCTATACCAGTTGGCAATGCTCAATTATAAAAAGCTGTGATATCTAATGTTGTTATCATTTTCAATAAAAGTAAGGTAGTTTGATTCTCGGTGTCAGCTGTTTAGGTCATGGTGATCCTTGTCATGAGAAGTGCTATGGCTTTTGTTAAAGGACCCCTCACCAGGTTTGATAATTTTGAGCTAACGAGTACCGTGCATACACTGGATGTTCACGAGCACGCCTGCCAAAGTTTTTAACACAACGGGCCACAGAATTGCGTCACATTTCAAGCTGAACGCTACTTGCCTTTCTCCTCACGGGAGCCCATCTAGAGAAGGGGAGGGGGATGACGTACATGGAGTCATCCTTCGTCGACAGTAGTGCTGTGAGATCGCTTTGCGAAAATGAGAGAGCACGCTCTTTCACCTATCATCGCAGGAGCACTCACCTCGACGAAGATGAAGAGCTGTGGAATGGCGAAGATGAAAGCGAGGACCCATGATGCGGCCAGCATGGCTTTTGCGCGACGCAGCCCTGACCGCGACTCCAGTGGTCGGCAGATGGCCGCGTACCTATCGTAGCTCATAGACGCTAAAATGAAAGTCGTCGAGGCGAGGGTGACCATCTGCACGTAAACCACTAGTTTGCAGCCCAAGGGACCCAGGACCCAACTGCCGGATACCTGAAACATGTGACAACAACATTCTCACAAAATAAAGAAACATATCACAAATATAATTTTGCAACAATTTAGCACAGAAACTAAGAACGTTCTTTATGCATTCGCCTAAAACGACTCGAAGGTGAAAACATTTTTTTTTAATTTGGAGACTTGGGGTCTCGGCTTGTCAGCGTCTGCTGTCGTTGTCCCTGCTGGTATATCATCTCGGCTTCATGGTCTATCCTAAACGGGTATGCAGCACAAAAATTCAGCGAATCCCATTGCCCTACATTGGTCCACAATAATTAAATGGTGAGATAAACGTAGGTTGTTACTGCCTCAATCCTCATGTCAGGCTATTCAGTGGTGTCAGCGACCACAAGTAAGTATACGAGAGACACATCTTTGACATCTAAAACCAAAAACACAAACCAGCTTTTCTACGTTAAAATCATCTACTGAAAAGACCACTTCATAAAACATAAGGTTAAAGGTATGGTCCGTTAGTTGACCGGTCGGTCAATAAAGCCATTAAGATTTTCACGAGGGAACATCTGCGCATACTGCTGACTCTTGCAGCCGGCAATGTGCGGGTTCGTTCACTGTGGTCAGTTGAACGCGGCTGTACATTCGTCACTTTGTTCGTGCTGTTCAAGTGGTTCGACAATGCCGAATAAGTGTAGCGTACCGCGGCGCGACGGCAAACAAGACAGGAAAGAATATACAAGTGTTTTTTCCCTACAGGCAGTGACACACGAAACAAGTGGTGACGTGCCATTCTCAGAAAGGATTTCATGCCTGCTGGGTGCACTGTAAGGTAAGGGTTTATGATGCTCTTGTTCCTAGCAACTCGTTGCTTATACAGGCAGTACGATGAGAAATATAGGATTGTGTAGCCGCCAGATCTTGCAAAGTACTGACGTTAATAGTCTATAAGAACTGGCCATAAAGTGCTGTTCACAACAGAGAGCACAGGCTGTTTTTTGTTGACACACAACCGTGTGATACCGCCCATTCTCGCAAGCCGTCGGTAACAGCGCTTCGCCAAGCACGTTGGCACTTGCTCCCCGTTTTTGTCCTTCATATTTATTCTACCTGTATTAGCGCAGACGCATTGATTTAGATACTTTCAAGCTTATGTTGATTCTGTTTTACCTACACCAGCTGTAAACACACTCAGGTACATCAGAGCGCAATTAGTTCGTTTTTTTTCTTCTCCTACGTTCATAAAACGTTTGCAGGTTTTTCCAGGTGTGCGCGTACAATTTTGATGCTTCATGCATCGAGAAGACCACGTCGTACATGGATCCAAGCACAGGGAAGGTTTGAGTTTGCACTGCCAGTACCAAGGTGACACCGTGGATCTGCACCAGCGTTATTTCTCGCTGGTCATCCTACCTTTCAATGCCAGACCAGAGTACTAGAAAAACATCTGATGCTAACAGGAGCCGGCAAACGGCTTCTCAACTCGCCCGTACAGTACAGAAATAACTGGCGTCATATGAAGCAGAGCAGCAAAGTGACTGCTTTTCGTTTCTTAATAAACTAAGGTCTCGTCTACAAGATGTATCAGTGAGGACGAAGGGGACTATGGTTCATAAAGGAGAGCGCTCGATGTGTTTGAATATTGTCGACTTACGTGATCCTTAGTAGAACCTTGGTAGAATCAAATACCTTGATAGAGCTGCTATACAGGAGCCAGTTCGAAAAGTAGGTTCATGTTAGAAATTTTGAACAATCTGTGCGTGCTCCCTGAAAAACACTGCAGACGTCACCACCTGTAACTTGCAATGGCTTCATTTTTCGACATTTTAGAAAATAGCATAATTGAAAAGAAAAAAAAAAGCCAGTATAGTTCATGAAAGAGCGGTGTTACTGGTTTCTGCAGAACGTATTCAGTATAGCTCACAAGTTTGCATGCATCTTGCATACAATATCAATACATGTATATAAATGTCTCAGAAGAATATGTGTACCATCTTAACCGTAACCAAGCAGTAATAAAAATGTTCGCGCATCTGTTGAAATGTGCCCACAAATTTAATTTTCTGATGCCACTTTTCTTCAATATGTTGGTTAGAGATTCAAACATCTGTAGCCACATTAGACTACTGTGACGCTAATGCTTGATGAGATCCACTTCAAGCTTGTTTATATTACAAGGGTGAGAACTTATGTGGTGCAGCAGTCAATCGAAATGAAACGGCCACGTCAGTGCACTAATTTAAGGTACAGTCTCCTGATTGCGTTCAAAGAGGTGGCACACATTCTTCCTGGTAAAGCTTTGCAGGGTAATGATCATCATGCCATGCCCAAGAAGGTGATCTTGTGCTTAGGAAGGATTGAATACAAAGTCATACACTCTTAGCTGTTGTCTGTGACAACAAGTCGCTAACCGGTAAGGAAATTAAGATCTTTCTCCCAAAACCAAAACTAAGCCCTGTTTACCAGATTCCGGCAGACCCAGCACGACATTTTGTTCACGTGGTAGATGCCGTGCATTTGTTGAAATGTATACGCAATATCTGGCTGAATCATAAAATTGTGGAACTTGCTTTTTTATGGGCTATACCAGCTTTGAAACAATGATGTTTGTCCCAAATGCAAAACGACTGCCTTATTTAAGCATTTCAGAGATTTGCATAATGAGAAATCAGCTCTAATCTTTTTGTTTTGGTATGGCTTGTCATCTAAAGCTTTTAATCTTAGCAACCTCATACAGCAGAAGGTAAAACTGGTGCAGCAAGCTTCTAATCCACACGTAGTGAAAGCCCTGAGTGCTTGAAGTGATGAAATCAATTTTCAACATGCGGCATCAGCAGAAGATTTCATAAAAGTAGTTCTGCGCTAGTAGAGTACTGTCGATGAGGACGCACAATGAAGGCTACCATCACCACTATGTTTATGAATAGCCCAAAGTAAATCAGACAGATGACCCAAAGGCGAAATTTTGAGTGTTTTCATCACGTGGCTAGACATTAGGTAATTTTATCGGCATAATACTAGGGTATTTACCCAGGAGACACTGAGTGCCCTGCGCATCTAACCTCAAACCCTTTTGGGATTTCCACAGCACTGAGTTAGTGACCTTTACATCAAGTACGTGCTACTCGGGAAAGTCTAAACGAACTCCCTTGAGAGCTATTTTGAAGAGGACAGGTAGATGGCTGGTGGGCAGTACGATATATCTCTACATCAGCTTTTCGAAACACAGAGCAGAATTCGTCTTCAGAATGTCCTACAACGAATGAACAGCGACGACCTCAAAGGCACTGAAACCGTACAAAATACGAAAGATGTAGACACGTATTCTAGTATTGAAGCTCATGATGTTAACCTCGATCCGCGCAGGCCTCAAATTTCAGTGACAGAATAAGTTGCTAGATATTGTTAACATGCCATAAAGTTCTTAAACGAAAGAGCTGCCAAGAACGCTCGGTCATTACTGCTAATGAGGCCAAAACAAAAAAGGACAGCCGCATTTTAACTACAAAACTTGACAAAAAAGGCCTGAAATTTTCTCCTACCCTTGTGATTACCGTAGTTATGTACACATAGCTTGTAGTTAGAAAGGTTATGGCACAAAGCAATAAAACCCGGTTTTTCTATAGGCCGAACCAAAGAAATGTCGTTCGAGAACTCGCAATTTTGTCGCTGCCAAGGCTTGAAGATATAGATGTCTGTTGAAATGGGTACATGTATGATATTCTCATCGCATTTGTAGCTAACTGTGCAGCAATTATAATTCTGAATATTGTATTCAGGCAAGAAAATGTCCTTTCAAGCATCAAAAACAAACAAAAAGAACAAGTGGTAAAAGCCCAAGTCTTGCATTGGAAGTGATTTTTCAGGTGATGTGCTCCTGTATGGACGTGATAGTGTACTGAAGTGCTTTTATTTCACATTCCTGACTCAATTTTCTTGTCATACTTCTGTCAGTTGTGCAGTCAGCCTAGTTTTAAGATTGTTTTATGCTTAACTCATGGTACATATTGCTTAAGCTTCCCTTTACGCGATCTTGGCATTTCAACTTGTATACATTTTAGGATGGAACTGTCTCAGTGCCGGATCCGGTAGTTCAATAATACATGTTTTGTACCTTGCGGTCATGTATGTTCTTGTGTATTGTGAGGGCAGTTATATTGTTGTGCAATGCGGCTTGGGCTAATGCTTCGTATGACATGCTTCGTATGCTTTTGTGCATAATGCTTCGTATGACATGCAGCAGTACATTTTGTTTTTTGTTTCATTTCTCTAGCTATGGTGTTCACACATCAGTGAACAGTTTGTTTCATGTATGGTAACTTTTTGACCTTTGTTGAATCTACAATAGGAAGTTCCATGTGTTGCGACTACTCGGATATAAGAGTAGTATATTTTCTGCTAAGCTATACACTGTGTAAATGGGAGCTTTTCATGTTTAAAGTCATGTTCTGGCATCTATAGTGTTCTTTCGTTATTTCAAAACATTTACCTCAAACAGTGCCTGCTTTCAAAAAAGGGGAATTATTTCTCGGATATGATGCGTCAGCCTCTTATAGGTGCAGTAACTTCTCAGCATTAAGTGTAATATCTTTTGCTGGATGTCGTCCATCTCATTCAAAGAGTGTGTCTGTCTGTGATAAATGAATATGTTACGTCATACATTGTACTTGTAATCTTTTGTTACCCTGAAAAATTGTGATAAGCTGGCCATTGAGCAACCTCGTTCAAGGCTTTAGCTTGCTTGAGGAGCGCGCGCGGCGAGCATTCACTGCTTGATTGATTGATTTGTGGGGTTTAACGTCCGAAAACCACCATATGATTATGAGAGACGCCGTAGTGGAGGGCTCCGGAAATTTTGACCACCTGGGGTTCTTTAACGTGCACCCAAATCTGAGCACACGGACCTACAACATTTCCGCCTCCATCGGAAATGCAGCCGCCGCAGCCGGGAATGGAACCCGCGACCTGCGGGTCAGCAGCCGAGTACCTTAGCCACTAGACCACCGCGGCGGGGCAGCTTTCACAGCTGGTGCAGCTGCCTAGTTAAGGGGAGCTTATGGGACGGGCAGGCCTGAGAAGTTTTCCGGAGGTGTCTATACTGCATGCTTAGCAGTGTTTCATGTTATAATTTCTTACTTTAAACATCGCCACCAGCAAGTCACTATTAATGGTTTTGTATCCGAATTCAAACCAATTAAGGCTGGTGTACCTCAGGGTAGCATTTTGGGCCCATTGCTCTTTAATTTATATGTGAATGATATAGTAAATATTTGTGCTAATACTAAATTTATCATTTACGCAGATGATACAAGTGTTTTTATTACAGGACGTGACCCTTCAAACCTCATTGAAAAAGGCAACGTCGTCCTAAATAAAATTCACACTTGGAGTATCGCCAACTCTTTGAACCTAAACGCGGCTAAAACGAAAGCTGTTATATTTCGGCCTCAAAACAAAACACTGGGCATCACAAACAGTCTAAAGTTAGGTACATCAACTATAGAATTATCACGCGTTGCTAAAAGCCTGGGAGTCATTTTTGAAGAGCATATGACGTGGACAGATCAAGTGAATGCCACCTTAAATAAACTTTCAAAAACTGTAGGTATATTGTCAAAGTTTCGTTACGTCCTGCCTCAAAACATAAAATTGTTAATTTATAAATCACTATTTTTGTCTAACTTATCTTATTGTCACTTAGTCTGGGGCACGACCACCAAAACCAACGTTCAGAAATTACACAAACTTCAAAAGAAAGCCATTCGTAACATCGTTAGTGCCGCATACGATGCCCACACGGAACCGATTTTCAAGGCTCTGCACTTATTCCCAGTACATGAGCTATATCACACAATTTTAAACAATCGCTATAAGTCGGCTATAAAAAATAACGACACATTTTTCACAGAATTGTCGGCGCTAACTCGCGCTGAACATGTGCGAATTTTGAGGACTCGTGAAGTCTGGAGATTACCAAGACCACGAACCAATTACGCAACACAGATGTTGAAATATCAGCTACCGCTACTACTTAACATATCCGAAAAACATAAGTAACACTTCCGCGTACTCAATTCGCATGTGTATGATGATAAAATGTACCTGTGAATCTCTCTCTCCCCCTTCATTTTGAACGAGTGCATCTCTGTATACTGTACCAGTGCCTTTTTTTTTTTTTTTTTCTTTCTTTTCTCTTTATTGTGTACATTTTTCAGTTCCACTAGCTCGCTTATGTTGTTGCAATGAAGATAACTGTTATGTGCCCGTTTTTGCCTTTGTACGCCACGATTGTACGCCACTCTGTACGCCACGTTTGCCAAGCCCGGGGGTACGGACCCTGTCAAGCCTCATCTATGGCTTTTTGTCCGTACCCACCAAGCTCCACTGAATGTCTTTGAAGCTGAAATAAATCATGATTGATTGATTGATTAGTGGAGCGGAGACGCTCATATTTCTCATAGGCTAGTGCCGTCTCTTTTCTGTAGATTTATCAATCCTCATCCGACCTCGTACGAATTTTTTTTGTACGTAAGGCCATTTTCGACTGCCTCGGAAATTGGCCCACCTTCGGAAACATGATAAGGTGGCTTTATTGCGTCATGGGAACGTCCGATCTTTTGGCAGTCCGTGACACACTGATGACCTGATATGGTGACATCAACACGTGACGTTGACTTTTTGCCCCATTCTAGTTGCTTCGACACCCCGGCACGCCGGCGGTGAATTTTCGTGTTTTATGAAGTATCTGAGGCTTTCGCCTTATTACACTTGCGTGTGACCATAATCAGCTGGAGAGCTCGCTATTTGTTTAAAATAGTCGTCAGCAATGTTGAACGCTTTGGGCGTACTCCCGCAATACTGAACGCTTAGAGCGTACTCCATTCAACTGCTCGTATGAAAACGCTTGCGAGAGTTCGCGGTGCACCTGTGCTCACTCGCTCCAGGAACGTAAGCTTTTTCAAATAACTGCCAACAAACCGGTTTGGTTTAGCTTCAAGAATGTTGCACTGAAAGGACACCATGTATTACAGTGCATTGATAAGCTCCTGATGCCATATATGCTTTTATTACCGGCTTGCAGTTTGGATGTCCAACTACAAGACGTCGTCTTTGCATATGTGCACCCACCTCTTCCGCTGTGCTCCTCTGCCAACTGGAAACGAGCACAGTTAAATATTAAAAAAAATGGCACGCCTGCGTGGAAGGCGCAGCACAGCCACAGCTAAAGCTAGAAGAGCAGCTTTTGAAAGCCTTTTTAAACACTCATTGGGTAACTGTTGCAAGCACACTTGCTTGATGCCAACTATGGCATTAGGAATAAAAAATTGGGGTTGTAGGCCGGCATTCGCTATGCTAGTTTTTGTCATTCTTCTGAGAAGCATGGTATCCGTCAAACACTTGCAAGGGATTTTGAGCCATTCGTTCATTCAGAAGCTGATGACGATAAGAAATTATGCCTGAAATGGGTATGCGCCACAGTTGGTAGTCGAACAAGAACAAGTTTTCGTGATGGGTTGGAGAATTGGACGACCCACTGGTTACGCTATTCGCATTGTGCGACGACTGGTTGTTCTTTCGCTGTTTTCAAATGCTTTATAAGTCGTAATAACGCGATTGCTTTCCCGGCATCAAGCCTGCCTAAGGCAAGTTTGCCAACATGTCCCAAGCACCAGCGTGGCTGAGTGGTAGAATATTGGGCTGGTTCCCAGCGAACCCGGGCTCGAGCCCCACTGTGTCGTTGGTACTAGGTTTGTTTTCTAATGTCGTGCGATGCGGATACACACACCAGTGGCGGCGGCGGCGGACAACTATTTAGAGCTCTGCGAAACCCGAGTAGTGAGCTCATAATAGCTTTCGCTGTAAAAACAAACTCGGTCAACGTGCCTCTTCATGAGCAGCTCGCTTGGGTTAGACGAGCTTACCTCGAAGAGAATCTCCGATGTTTGCGTGAAGAGTCCCACAGCGAGGTCACCAACAGCCAGGTGCAAGATGAAGAGGTTGACGCGTGACGAGGAACGAAACGCGGCGCGAGGCCGCGCCAGAACTGCGACAATGGCAGCGTTTCCGGCCAAGGTGAACAGCATGATGACCGACAGTGTCGCCACGCGCTGCACCAGAGGACCGTCCCACACTGCGGAGTCCGGAAACACAACCAGGCTGGATACGTTCGTCGATTCATTATTGGCGGGCAGCTCAAGCGCTCCCGGTAGCGGCACGCCTCCTAAGCCACGCTGGTTGCAAGTTCGGCTTGACATATCTATTCCCAAGTGGGTAAAGCAGGAATGATGTTTGTGCTACGGTGAGCTGCCAGGTGGTCTCGGCATCGCGTCCAGTTTAGTAGGAAAGAACCTGCGCAAGAAAAAAAAATGGCAGCAAATATTTAGTCATTTCGCTACAGCTAAGATGAATGATAGTTATGCACACGGCGTTCGCTGTATTCTCGTGGTAGTGGCTGCACGTAGCCTATTCACAACTCAGCATACTGAGGCAATCTTTGGATTTCAGCTGTGTTTTCTCCGAGTGAACGATACACGTGCGTTCAATACTGAGTCCGAAGTGCAACTGCTGATAATAGCGCTAGCGCCATTTGCATGGCATGAGACTTAGAAGCGCAGCAACAATTGCTTAGAACTACTGCTACCGAGAAGGGAATGTAGTGTTTGTTAAAGAAGAAAACACGCTTATTTGGGTGGCCCTTGTAAGAAGTATGGCGGTGCGTCATCATGACACTTTTGAATGGAAAGAGACATAGGCTGTGTTGAGGACGTGACGAACGAGAGACTGACGCCACCAAAAATTCTTTTGCGCGTGTTTTGTCTACCGACGTAATCTGCCAGAACAGAGCAGCATGAAATGTGCTTTTTAAGGTAATTTTCTTATGATAGTTCTGTGACAGTAAGGCTTCTGTCGCTTTCGTTCGCGAACACCACACGAAGGAAGAAAAGTTTTGCCACGGCTGAAATGACGTGCACTGTCGAGAATACTTTACAAAACTGATTATTCACACTTAAATGTTGACTAGACGGCTGGTGCCTCTATTGCGAAGCTGTATCGTGGGCTAAATAATGAAATGGTCTTTCTTTTAGTCACTCGAATAGGTGCCCGTAGTTCGAGATATTGGTCATCAAATTTTAAGAACGAAATTTAAACCATTCGTCCCCATCGCATTCGAAGTGTAATCGTTCTCTTATGTGAGACTGAAACTGCGCCTGACAAGGAAGTGACAAAATTTCAAAAAAGGTGTGCCTCAGCCGCAATTGTTTTGTCATAAACTGCGAGTCATTTTTATTGTGCTAGCACGTTGCCTTTTCTGTGTGTAGTGTCGGAACTTTTTTCTTTTTTTTTTAGCAGTGCACAAGTAAACCACCATATGACTTTTCCGTTCTCTCGTAAACCTGCGTATCTCGCAACAACAACTACGAAATAGATATAGATGAGTAGATAACTTGTCAGATAATGCAAATTTCGTTTCTTACATTAACCACTCTTTTAGGCTCGGAGCAAATGTTCACTCGGTAAGAGAACAGCCTGCGTCGAAAATGACAGCCGCTATATTGAACGCCTTCTGGACACCAACACAGCATGCCTAGTGTACTGTGTGAATGGAGCTGTCACCTCAAGATCTAGCTTGACGTTCAAAAAGCAGCACTTAATGCCGCACCATTGTTTGCAGTGTGGGTGTGTTCGAACTCATTACAACTGAGCATGTACGTGTCGTTGCCATATTCAGCGCTTGCACTTTCCGCTATCCGTGGGCTTAGATGTTCGGCACATCTTAATCGGTTTGCACTGCCGTCTCTTTCCCCTAAATTCACTTAAGTTGGTTTGATTATTGTTTGTTTGTAGCATTATTGTTTGTTCAGCCTGTTAACATTGTCGAATAAAATTTTTCGCTTATGCAGACCACCCACAACAAGATAGCAGGGAAGGGAATCACAATTTTGCTTCTACAAAAAGCTCACTAAAAGGAAAACAAAGAGAAACACATGCAAAAAGAGAGTCAGCCAACAAATGTCGACAGGTTAAGTTAAAGGTGCGAGCATTCACCTAGTAAAAACCCAATAACTAATTTACAGCAAGCGAAAAAAGTTATCCTCAGATACACAAAGCAAAACACCGGAGTAATATAAGGGACTTTGGTTACCCAATTGTTGTTCAAATTGGAACCGACGTTAATTTTATAATTCAATATAAGCTTCTATTTTCGGAACCTTGCTTACGTCTTCAAGTTTTGCTTCTTGTACAGCACGGGTGGAGACAAAATATTTTATTGGGAAAATTTAATGGCTTCAACATCTGACGCTTTCATTATGAAGTTCATGTGTGAAATAGGCAACATGCCAAGTTGCATGAAGCTTAAGAAGCTTTCTTTTAGGCTCTGCGTAGAAATTTTCAGGAATCATTTCATTTTTGTGAACATATTAAGAAAGCACGGATGTAATTTCATGTGATGCGCAATAAAACCAGCAGGAAAAATTTGCTCACAACGCTTATAGTCACAATAAATTTAGCAATGAAATTTGAAAATATTTTGGCATGCAATAATACGACCTGAACAATGAAATGATTTTTTCTTGGCGGGGGGAGGGTGATGGGGTCATAATGGGAACGCTTTACATAAAGAATCAATGGGAGTTTTTCGAACATACCTATATAACGTTCAAAAAAAGAAGAGCAGACAAAAGAAAAAATATCGAGTGGTGATGCATGCACCGTCTCTCATGGAATCACAATGTGTAGAAAGCCTCCTAGCTTTCACAACAACGTGGCAAACATACAAAAAATTGTGACTTTAACCTCATAAAAACAAGAAAACAGATGATGCTTAACCTTCACGTTCACACGTAGAGCACGATATTGTAGTCAGGCCTCATGTACATCCCTCTCAACAATGTCAAAAAGAAATTGCATGCGTAACAGTGGCTGTTTTAAATTACCATACAATGCCTATTGCAAGTGCAGTTGTGAGGTGCCCATCACGATATAGTGCTTCCTTTCGCAAATTGGCAAAATATCCATTACGTCTTAGTAAGCTGGGAGGCGCATCTGCCCATTCTGTAATTAGTGGGTATCCCTAAACCTTTGACTCGCTGCGATACATGACATATTTTTACAAGGGGCTCAATTCTACAATTTCACCACAATATAAACTGCGTTAAAAAAACTCCTTCCGTTACGTCAATTTCTTGCAGAGTTTCTTCACGAAGCAGTTTTAAGCCTTTTAAAATGGCTTAGTAAAACACTTGGTCACAACGCTGAAGATCCGGGTTCGATTCCTACTCGAGCTGCAGGCATTCTATTTATTAGCATGCAAGTTGATACCGGAGTTCTACAATGCTTTCATAAGTTTCGTTAAGGAAACACGTCAGCAAAATGAACGTCATCAGAGAGCAATAAAAAAAAACCAAAAGGAAATGTTGTGTTGAAGGAAGTTGAACCCACGATTTATAAGTTCACGACGATGACTGCGGGGCATTTAGCCCAGAGAGCAACCGCTAGACGAATGAAAAGGCTGGAGGTTCGTGCATTTTATTCCTCACACTGTCCTCTCATACTGATCTTAATTATCAGGATTGTGTTACATGAAAAATCGTCTCGATCTCGTGGAGTGAAATTTGGCACAGCCTCCGCGACCAGCTCCGGCATTGCGCCGTTCCTACCACCATGAAACTTGGCGCGTTTCCAAAAGAAGGGTAAATTTATCAATGCTACAACACACCACGAAATGGCGGCTTTTGCAAAGGCCTCACTCATAGCGGAAAGTCTCTAGGGCTAGTTTGTCTCTAGGGTTATCACTCCTCGCGCCCTTATTTTAGACGCTATGACTTTATTCAGCTCATTCACAGGAGTCATGCATATTTAAAAAAAATAGAAAAACTTTCCAACACACCTTGGCCGTCATACCAGTTGTACCGCGTTTCCCAGTCGCCTTGTGAATTTAATGGCTCAACTGGAGAGAAGACAAAGCGTCCTTCTCATTTTTCTTCCCGATTCACGATGCTTTGTAGGAATGCACACTGAGAATCAGGGTTTATTATGCTCTTGCTGGCCCAATCCTTGTGTGGGAGCTGCCATGTACTCTGTCAACTCAAGCAAAAATTCTCATATGACGCATATACCTCATATACCGCGTATAACATAAACCCAATACATCCTATGATCGTACTGGAATACATATTCATATATAATCGTACGAGATAATTGGATATGTGTCATACGTGTCATATCTTAATTTTCAATAGGGTAGGTATGTGTTAAGAACTTCAGCTACTTCAGGGGTTCAATGACAAGCATATAGGCATATGTCATCAAGACCGATATGCTAACTATGGGTGAATACGGATGCATCCACATAAAATCATGTGATATAGGCCAACAACGAAAGTCGCCAGGCCTTCGCGGGAGGCGCAGCACAGCCCCAGCGAAAGCTGGAAGAGTGGCCTTTCAGAGCCTTTTCTAAACACTAATTGGGTGACAGCTGCAGAACACTTGCTTGATGCCCTCTACGGCATTGGAATAAAGTTTTTAGGGTAGTAGGCCGGCATTCGCTATCCTATTTTTCAGCATTATTCTGAGAAGTGTGGTATCTGCTGAACTATTATGAGGAATTCTGTGCAAATTGTTCTTGCTGTGGCTGACGACGATGAACTATTCCTGAAGTGGGTATGCGCCACAGTTAATAGCTGAACAAAAACAAGCTTTTGTAGTAGGTTGGAGCATTGGATGACCCCCTCATTACGCTATTCGCATTGTACGACGACAGATTGTTCTTTCGCTCTTTTCAAATGCTTTATAAGTCGTATTAACGCGATTGTTTTTCCGGCATGAAGCCTGCCTAAGGCAAGTTTGCCAACAGGTCCCAAGCACCAGCGTGGCTGAGGGTTATAGTATTGGGCTGGCACCCAGCGAACCCGGGCTCGAGGCCCATTGTGTCATTGGTACTTGGTTTGTTTTATAATTTCGTGTGATGTGGATACACACACCAGCGGCGGTGGCGGACAACTATACGGAGCTGTGCGAGACCCGAGTATCAACTCATAATAGCTTTCGCTATTAACGTCGTGTGAACGCGATTGCTTTGGCGACATCAAGCCGGCCTAAGACAAGTTTGCCAAAAAATTCCAAGCCCCGGCATGAATCAGTAGTAGAATACCTGGCTGGCACCCAGCGGACCGGGTTCGAGCCCCATTGTGGAGTTGTTACGAGGATTTTTTTTTTCTAATTTCGCGCGATGTCGTTACAGACACTGGCAGTG